GAGGGGAGAAGAGGGGAAGAGAGGGGAGAGGAAGGGAGGGGAGGGGAGGGGAGAAGTGAGGAGGAGAGGGGAGGGGAGAGGAAGGGAAGGGAAGGGAGGGGAGGAAAGGAAAGGAATTAGACAAGACCTAGAGCTTCAGTGAGACAGGGAACATTTGCAGAGCAGTCACTGAGCAGGAAGATCCACGCCCAATGTTAGCAGCACCAACCCATGTGCTGGGGTCCCAGGCTGAATTAAATGAGAAAAGGGACAAAGAGAACAGTGGTATTTCTTCTGTTTCCTGACCCTGCCACCAGTTCCCTCCACTTTGGATGAGGCTGGCCCAGCTGCCAGTCCTTTCCCACCCGATGGCCCGTATCTCCTTCAGCTCTGAGTCAGACTAAACCTCCCCTTACGCTGCTTCTGTCAGGGATTTGGTGTCAGCCCTGAGAAAAGTAACTAATGTGCTAGGGTGCTCAGTGCGGAGAGAGGAGCTACAGGGAGCGCACTGGATCCCATGGCTGGACTGCAGTGGCAGAGACAGGCTCATTCTTCACGAATGTACAGGTAGGTAGAGAAGCCAGTGCAGATGCGTAGATGTAAATATATGAGTGAAACTTCATACATGTCCTTAGCTCTGTCCACTCAGAGGACCTGGGAGCCCAAAAGCCTAATGGGAATGAGCCCGTCTACCATCGGCATCTGAGGTCCTACATCCATCTCTGCAGGAGGGAATCAGTGCTCCCAGGACAACCGACTGGAATACGGGGAAGATGAGATGTCCAGGAGCTGGGAGTTGGGGCGTGCCAGGCAGCACCTGGGAAGCTGAGGCAGGAGAACTGCCACGAGGTCAAGGCCAGCCTGTCTCGACATACCTCAAAAACAAAGAAATTTGGGCCTGTCAGAAGTAAGGGCAGTTGCTGTGCAAGCCTGACCTGAGTCTGATCTCTACAGCCCACATGGGGGTAGAAGGAAAGAACTGACCGCACAAAGCTGTTTTCTGACCGCCACATGCACGCGCACGCACGCACACACACGCACACACAAATAATGAAATAAAATTTTAAAAATTCGCCTAGGATATTCCTATACTATTTTGACTTTTTAAAACAATTCTGCAAGTAAGCAAGCACTTAAATGTTAATGAGGACATTTCAAAAGGACTTGGAAGCCAGATTAAAGGGCCCTGCTCCTACTGCCCACATCAAAGACAACTATAGTATCAAAACAAAAAAATTAGAGGAATGCATTACAGCCTACTGAATAAAAGAACCCAATGCAAATACTTTGAAACTTACAGAGCTGGAAAGATGGCTCAGCTGCTGGGAGCACAGGCTGTTCTTGTAGAGGACCCAGGCTCGATTCTCAGCACCCACACAGTGGCTATCAATCATACATAGCTCCAGTTCCAAGGTTATCCGACACCCTCTTCTGACCTCTGTGGGCACTGAACGACATGGGTACACTTACGTACATGCAGGCAATACACTCATACATGTAAAATAAAAATAATAAAATGTTTTTAAAATTTTTTATTATTTTTTATTTTATATGTATGAGTGTATTGCCTGCAAGTAGGTAAGTGCACCCATGTCGTGCAATGCCCACGGAGGAAAGAAGAGGCCGTTGGATCCCCTGGAGCTGGAGTTACAATTGTTCGCTGCCATGTGGGTGCTGGGATTCGAACCCGGGTCTTCTGCAAGAACAATGTTCTTAACCACTGAGCCATCTCTCCAGCCCAAAATGTTTTTTAAAAAAACAAAAAACTTTGAGGCTTACAAAGAATGTGTACATAGGGATAGGCCTGTGCCAGCAGCCTTTTATCCTAGCACTTGGGAAGTGGAGGCAAGAGGATCAGGAGTTCAATGCCAGCCTCAGCTATATATTAAGTTTGAGACCTAACCTGGGCTACATAAGACCCTATCTCAAAATAAAATTTTTCTCCACAAGAGACATCATTATTATGGAGGAAAAGTATTTTAGAATGCAGTAGCTGGCAGACTGGACATTCTTCAAATCATGGAAGCACTGTCTTAGTAACAAGCAACCTGGATTTACAGAGCCTCCTGGCTCCTATGAGATCCTGCCTGCCTGCTAGGACAAGAATCTGATCACAAAGCATCAGCCAGCTGCAAACTGAGGGACAGCCAAGAGACAACAGTCTGTGGTGCTGCAAAGGGTCATCATTACAGGACAAGAACTGGACAGGAGCTCTGGCCTCACTCAAGAAGGTTCCAAAACACAAGCAAGTTCCTAGCAACAGGAAAGGATTGACGCTATCTTGCTGACTTTGCTGGCTGCCCCGTGCACAGCAAGGCCAGGGTCCTTACTTGTAGGAAATGCTCACTAAATTAAACATGGGGAGGCTTGGTCAGCATGCTACTCCCTAACAACTCCGAAGAATGATGAATTTTTGTTTTACTTGCAACCTTTTGGTAAGTTTTTAATTGTTTCTTTAAAAGAACAATTGATTAGCTGAGGTCAGTTAATACGCCAGCATAATTCTGCCCTCGATCCCTGGTCTACGGTGTTAATGTACTCTTCCTTAAAACAAGCCACACTGGCATGTGGAAGGGCGCTGGGGTCCGGACTCGCTTACAGGTGGCTTCTAGGTCCTTTTGAAATGCTTCTACAGCTCTTCAAGTACTTCCTTCTTCACGGCAACAGCATGTTCCAGGCTCCTTTAGTGTTGTCCTGGTACTAGACAGCTGATCTTGGAGTACCAGTAGAGAAAGATACTGTGATGTGACAAAACACTGCAGCAACAACTTGCCCTTGAGCGACCTCTGGTTGTAGCACTCTGGGCTCCAGACGGCCATGCATCGAAGTTACGGGGCCTGGGGCTAGGCTTTCTTTTTCGACTTCAGTCACGTGTAACCATATATTGTTTGTTGTTTGGAGGCAAGGTCTCATATAGCCCAGTCTGGCCTAGAATTCTCTATATAATCCAGGCTGGTTTTGAATTTAGAATCCTCCTGCCTCAGCCTCCTAAGATCTGGGATTATAGGCATGAGCCACCACGCCTGGCTAATGCCCAGATAGCTTGTTTGCAAAAGTACATAAATAGGGGTTGGAGAGATGGCTCAGCGGTTAAGAACATTGGCTGCTCTTGCAGAGGATCAGAGTTTGATTCCTATAACCCACATGGAAGCTTATAATTGTCCATAATGCCAGTTCCAGGGGATCTGACTCTCTCTTCTGACCTCTGCGGGCATTGCATGACACGGGTGCACTTACACACATGCTGGCAATACACATAAATAAAATATTTTTTAAGAATTTAAAGTATATAAATAGGGTTCACAGTGATGTGTAACAGGTAAAACACCTGAAAGCATGTGCCTAAAGGTCATCCACATGTGGCATTGTGTGTGGCCCCTCAGTACAGCAAGCAGCCTGGTCTTAGCCTTGGGGAATTGTGGGAGAGGACAAGGGCCCATTCGAAGTTCAGGGGGGACACGTGGTGATACATGCATATAATTCCAGCACTCAGAAGGCTGAAGCAGGAAGGTTTCCAGTTCTAGGCTAGCCTGGGCTACAGAGTGAGTCCAGAACAGCCTCAGTTACACGGTGGGACCCTATCTCAACCTTCTTCCCCCTGCGAACAGGTGCAGGACTCCTTAAAACCATACCACATGGTGCCCATCAGCCATGAACTTGTGTCTCTTGGGGCTGCTCTCAGGAGCAATGGAAAGTGGAGGCCAGTCTCCCTCCTGCCACAATGACTGGTCACAGCTGGTAGTCAGTATGTATGGACTGGGGTTTTACCTGGGGAATGTCCTGAAGCTCACGAGATGCCCCAGTTGCTAAAATTTCAAATATTGTTGCCTGTACTCCCTGGGCTGGGGTAACACAGCCTCCTGGGTTCCTGCGGAGCCGGGCTGCTTGGTGAGGCCCCTAGAGAGAAGGTAGTCTACTCCCACAGGAGGCCAGGACCAGAGGCTGCAGCAGCGGGGCCTGAACACCATCACCTGTACCTAAGCTTAATCTTCTAATTCTGAGGTACGCAGCACAATGACAGCTCGTGTTTTCCTTTTCTCCCTGAGGCATCCTGAGTAACCAGTTTGTGATATTATAATTTGTAATCATATATATCTATATCACATATATACATCACCTCATTCCTGGCATAGAGCTCATAAAATGCTTGGAATTTCCTACATAGTTATTCATAATTAAATCCTTTCGACCTGAGTGTATGCTGAGGTTAACTCCTGGGAAGATGGAACTGGATCCAGGGAATCAGCATGTGATCAGAGGACCAGTAAATCCGGCCTCACCCATGACTAGGGAGATGGAGGTTTGCCTTCTGAGTCAACCTCTAGGGGTCACAGAGTTCAAGACTCATGTCCAGGGAATGAAACTCCTCAATGGAGGGGCTCAGCTTCCACAGAGCTGAACACATGGAGGTGGAGCACAGTGGAGCCCTGTAGAGGAGATGGTGCTGTGTCCCTCCCCAGCACCCTGACCTCGGCATCACTTCTTCTTTTGTGATGCTGGGGACTGAAGCCAGAGTCTTGGGCATGCTAAGTAATAACTCTATTACTGACTTGTTTATCTCCAGACTTTTTTTCCTTTTGAGACCTAGTCCTGGCTGGCCCAGAACTTGCTCTGTCTGTCTGGCCCAGAACTCACAGAGATCCACTGGCTTCTGCCTCCCAGGTGCTGAGATTAGAGGCATGAGCCACCACACCCAGCTCCTAGCCCTTTTAAAAAATAAATCATTATGCTTTGTTTATTTTGTGTGTGTATGTTCACATGTGCCCATGCATGCACACGTCTGCACGATAGAAGTGCACAAATGCCACAGTGGAGGTGAGAGGATAACTTGGCAGGAGCTGATTCTCTCTTCCACCATATGAGACCTGGGGATCAAACTTCAGTCATCAGGCTTGGCAGCAGGCCCCTGTACCTACTGATTCATCTTGTCAGCCTCCACACCCTTCTTTAATTAAAAAAAAGAAAAAACAAAAAACTTTTATTTTGAAATAGGATCTCATTAAGTTGTCCAAGCTGGCCTTGAATTCATTCTGTACCCCAGACTGGCCTTGAACTTGTGCTCTTCCTGCCTCAACCTCCTGGGTACCTGGGATGACTGGCCATACATACCACCACGGCATCTAAGGCTGGGATATACCTCAGTCATGTGTGCTTTGCATAGAACAGCCCTGAGTTCAATACGCAGAGCTGCAAAAGAGCTTCTCTGAGTTCTGGGGGTCTTGGGAACCTCTGATTTGTAGTCAGTCATTCAGAAACCCATGTCATAACCCAGACTTGAAGTTGACCTCTAGAGCTAGAAGCAGGCTAGTGGAATCTGCATGATTCTGGTAGGGCCCGCACTGCTCTGAATCACAGGATGCTCGGCTGTGGGAGAGGAGCCCAGGTACTATCAAACATAAACTAAGATCCAGGCTAGAGAAAAACTGTTTTTCTTTTTACATTTAATCACAGCAAAGGACCTGCAGTTGTAAAATCACCACCTCTATCACCGCCCCCCACCCCATGCCAAGGGTGGAACCCAGGGTCTCGTGCTCATGCTAGGCAAGTTCTACCACTGCACTTCACCCCCGCCCCACAGGGACATTTTTAATGAATATATTTCTTTGATGAGGTAGTTTGGGTTCACAATCAATCACAGTGACCCTTCCTGTTTGTGTGCCTTGTTTCAGAATGCCTTTCCTACTTCCTACACGTCAGTGTGATACAGTCTTGGCTGGCCCATGGCTGTGTGAACATACAGAATGCAAGAAGGGCCCCCATGCGGCTCCAAGCACTGGAAGTAAGAGGCCTCTCAGTGTCCAGCTTGATGTTCCTAGAACCTAGCAGCCATGCTGTTGGGAAGCTAGTGGCCTTTAAGGAGGAGGACTAGGAGGTCTATGGAGAAGAGCTGAGGGCTCCGGCCTAGGGCCAGCCCCTCTGCTAGCTGGAGGGTGGTCCCCTAGTCTTCCACAGCAGAGCACCCATCTGGCCAGGGAAGCAGCAGTAGGACCTACCTGAGCAGGACCCAGACACAGATCTGTGAGCAAACAAGGGGTT